GTTCTCCTTTGTTTCATCCGGACTCGTCATGGTTGGTGCGTATACACTGATGAGAGTAGCATTTCCCTTCTTCATCAGTGGTACTGTCATTGTCATAATTCTATCATTCACCGCTTTAGGCATTTCTGTGAGCTTCGCTAAGATCTCTTTTCTGATGGCGAATCCCACTCCAGCCTCTCGTCGTACCCCGTCCGGCTTGCCGCTCCAGAAGAATGTGTAGCCCATGTCATCGAGCCTACCTGACTCGGAGAAACGTGTTTCACTCAGAGCAGCAATGTCAATTTTGTACTTCTCCAGCTCCATGGCTACAAGGGCAGTCCTTCTCTCTGGCCTGCCAGTTCCTTCCCGATCGAGGAGTGTCCTGACATTCCACTGTCCAAACGTCATTGTAGTAATTCCGCTGGTGTCATCTTTTTGTTGTTGTTGTTGTTTGCTTCCTAGCATACTTGGCACTGTCGACGGAAGTCCTGATCTAACAGCGCGGGATATTTGAATAAACAATAATATAAACAACAACAAAACAAAACAAAGTAGAACATAAGTAAAAATAAGAACATACATGTAGGCCGCACAACCCTAAACACATTGTACTGTGTAGTAAATGAGTGTTTTTACAATGTAAGATCGTTGAAAATAAGATATAATTTAAGCTTTCTTTTAAATGAGTTCAAACTATTAATAGAAGTAATATCTGATGGTAAAGAATTCCACACAGAAGGAGCTTTATGTCTACAAGAGTGTTATTCATATTGTTTTGTAATAGCAGATAAATAATAATTAAGTTCTATTTCGAGTATTATAATTATGAACTGAACAGTTTAAAGTTAACATATTGCATAACTTATTGGGTAATAGACCAAGCCTGTGTTTAAAAAGTAATATTGCATCAACATAATAATTACATTTATAAATATTCAATATGATAAACTTTCAGAATAAGGGTTTAGTGTGCTAAGTATGTAGATGATGAAGCTATTCTTACAAATCCTTTTTGCAATATAAAAAGTGCTTCCAACTTGGAAGAATATGTATTAACCCATACGACATTACAGTATGATAAGTAGGGTAGTAATGAAGTATTATACAATGTGATAAGAATGCATTTTGGTAGGATAGGGTATAACTTGCTGATGACACCGATATTCAGGGGTAACTTCTTTCTGACAAAAGAAATGTGAGTCTTCCATGATAAATCATGATCAATGTAAACACCCAGAAATCTCGTACAATATACACGTTCAAATGATGAATTATTGAGTTTCACAACTAACATTTGCAAAGAACTATACTTTTGTTTCTGTTTCACAGTATAAAATAACATATAATTCGATTTATCTAAATTTAATTTAAGTTTATTGGCATTAAATTATTGAGAGACCTTTAGTAGTTCATTATTTAAATTAGTTGACAATCATAAATGATCATCTGTTGAATACAAGATATTGGTGTCATGCAGCAAACAATATAAATTGTAATGTTTTAGAAAAATTTGGGAGATCGTTCATAAACAAATGAAATAACAAAGGACCTATAATCGATCCTTGAGGAACACCAAATGAAATATTAGAAGAATCTGAAATGACATTGTTGTATGACACAACTTGAGTTCGATTATGTTAATAATTTTTAAATCATGAATAAGGTAGTCCTCTAATACCGTAATAAGTTCATTTATGTAACAATATTGAGTAATCAATTGAATCGAATGCCTTACTCAGGTCAAGAAAAACACCAACTGTATCAGTGGCGGATCCAGGGGGGGGGGGAACAGGGGGCACGTGCCCCCCGGCCAAAAAAATATGTTAAAATCAGCCCTTAATTCGCCCAAAATGTACTGAAAAAAGGGGCGTGCCCCCCCCCCCGGCCAAACATATATATATATATATATATATATATATATATATTTTTTTTTTATTTATTAAAAAAAAAAATAAATAAATAAATATCCCAATAGCTGACCTAAAAAGGTGACCTTACCCCCCCCCCCCCCCCCCAAAAAAAAAAACGGGGCAAAATGTCAACTTATTCATCGGCGGGCTCAGTCGTTGCGATTTTTTTGGGACTAAAAAATATATATATATATATATATATATATGTTTCCCACACGGTGCCCCCCCCCCCGGCAAGAAATTCCTGGATCCGCGCCTGTGTATATAATTCATTTGCAAAAGAATTAACAATATAATCATGTAATTCAATATATGCCATTTCAGTAGAAATATTTTTCAAAAACCGTATTGAAATTCATTTAATAAAGTATTTTTATACAAGAAATCAGACATCCTATCATACGCCAGTCTTTCTAATATCTTAGAAAAGACGGGAAGAACAGATATTGGTCTATAATTTGAAATGTCATGGATGTCTTTTTTTTTGCAGACAGGTGTAACTTTTGCTATTTTTAATTTCAAGGGTATACGATTCCAAATGAGAATGATAGGTTGTAAATAACGCATAAAGGCTTCACAATACCATAAGTAATTTTTTTCACAACAGAGGGACTAATGTCATCAATGCCACTACTACTAGATGAGTTCATATTTTTAATAATTTCCAATATTTCAGTTTAGAAGAGAACCAATGATACGTAAGAAGTGTAAATACCTAAAGCATTCACACAAGATTCATGAATAAAGAATGAGAAGAGAACAACGGAACATACCAGGTGTTTTAAGACTTGGTATGTAGAGGAGATGAATAGAGAAAGGGTTGAGTAACTGAGTAAAAGAATATATAAGTGAATATGCAAATGATGTGAAATGAATATGTATAGAGAGAAGAGACTAGAGAAACAAATAGTAATTGTAACAAATACAAGTATGGAATGAGTCTAACTTTAACTCTTACAATATTGTTTGTTAACGTGTGATCGATAAGAGAAGCAGATTTCACCTGTAATTCGGGTACATTCAGTGGTATTAACGAATAATTGTAAAGTTGTTAACCTGATTGTAACGTCTCGTGATAATCGTCTACCTCCTTTTTAATGTCAAGATTTATGTCCCCATGACAAAAAGGTGACAGTCAAGAATTTCTATGAATTCGAAAAATGTTTTCATAATTATCTAAAAGGTCAGAATTTGAGTTTGGAGGCCGACTAGAATTTAGAAGTAATATTGGCTTCAAGGCCAGACATAATATAGGAGAGTCTTCAAAAATATCTAACTCTACGCTTTCATGTACATAAAATGATACACCACCACCAGACCTGTTGCGATCTTTACGAACAATATCATAATGAGGAACTTCAATTTCACTATTATAATACTGATTCATCAAGTTTTGTTTCGTTAAGAATCACTTGTTTTGTGACTGTAGGAGAGTTGTACCACTGTGGGAAAAATTGGTGGATAAGATTAACACTGGCACTGATCACAGTTATAATCTGACTCTGTCAAAATTTAATTTTTTGTTTGGGATACAGTCAAGGGACAAATACGCCTCTTGTATAAATTTTCTCTGTTTATGTTTAAAATATTACATTTACTCATGTAGGTTTCAGGGAAAAGAACTTATTTTCGAAGCATTTGTTTCAATGGTAAAGTTCAAACAAAAAATAGAATATAAAATTGCCCAAAAGAAAAATAAGTTACAAGTCCATTTTAAGAAATGGTCTATCAAGTTTAACTGAAATTTAGGAGTAGTCTTGCAAAGCTCTGTTGTCATTAACATCTTCATTGGCTTTTTGAACTGTAAACTTGCCCTCTGGGAAAGTATATGAGTGTGAGTGTGTGTGTGTGTGTGTGTGTGTGTGTGTGTGTGTGTGTGTGTGCGTGTTTATGGGTGCATGAGTGCGTGCCTGTTTTGTAGTTTTAAGATGATATTATATTTTATATTGCTGCTTTTACTCTGTTAATTTTTCAGAAAAAACAATAAAAACAGAAAGAAAAAAAAAGAAAAAAGTTTTGTTTCGTTAAGAGCAAGGACATGTATATCATTACAGCACAAAATTATTTGTAGTTCATCAATATGTTTGTCGAGACTCAAAATATTCAATTGAGCAAATTTCAAACCCTTGCTTGAGAGGTTATGGTACATCATATCTTTGTTTTTAATGAAAAAACATGAAAATCATACTGCTAAAATGATCTTTTTCTGAATAAAAAAAAAAAAAGTGCTGGCGGCCAGCTTGAAAAATAGCCCAATTGGCTGGACGTCAGGGAAAATGTACCTAGCGGCCATTTTGGAGAAAAAAGGGCCTCCTCCTTCCTATTTTTCAAAAAGGCAGGACGCTAAACATGCTTTTTATTTAATGGCCTTACCTATTTTAAACATTTGCAAAGAAATGTCACTATAAATATAATAAATCAGTCTTAAGAATCAAATATTTCAATAGTTTTGTGAAGTGTATACCAACTGTGTATACCAAATTATAGCTCAGCTATTATTCAAAGATATAATATTTTCTCTTTAAATGTATTAGCTATGCAGGTTTCAAAAGCCGTTGTCAATGGAACTAAAGAGTGCAAAAATATGTCGTCTACATAAGACCTCATACTTGGCCCGAATTCACAAAGCAAGGTTTGAGCTCAGACCAAGGTTTGAGCTCAAACCTCCTTTTGTTTCGCCAAACCTCCTTTTGTTCTTTACAAACCAGGTTTGTAAAAAACGCGTAAAACGCGTCATATGACGTACGAAAACCAAGGTTTGTTGACAAACCTCCTTTGTGAATTCGGGCCAACGCATTTGTGACCTCACATGAGTAGGCCTACCCGTTATTATTATACACATAATACAAGGGCATTGGCTCACCATTAATGACGGTACAAATTAGTTCGGCAAAGGTGTATACATAAGTAGACGAGCAATGACATATAAGTACCTGCGTGCAAATGTGACACAAATGCAAAAAGAAGTTTAAAATGCTCAGTGTTCGTGAGTTGAACATCTACAATAGGAAGATTTGAATAATACAAATATTTAACAAGCGTACTCGCTTTACCATTTACCAAAGATACATAGCCTAATTGAAATTCCATCAAATACGTTATAAAAAGAGTCTAGATGCAGTACCAGCTTTACACAAAGAGAACAGAACACAAGACATTCTTCTTTCAATTTTTTCAGGTCAGTTTTTGATTGAATATTAAATAAGAAGAAAAATTCAGGAAATTGAAACGGGAAAGTGTATGGAAAGCTAAATGTGACAATGAATGAACAGCATAAGAAACATTACACAAACTGTCTTACAATATCAATGACACATTAACCTATGAGGGTTGCATGCCAAACAAAAATTTCTACAATATAGGACTCTCCTCATTCCTTGTTTCTTTTATATTTTTTATAGTTGGTTTGTTTACATCACAATATCACTATGAAGTAGGCCTAGGCCTACATGAGAGAAAATTTGACTTCATGTCCAGGAAAAGCCCCAATGGAAAGTTTTAGAACATGTGAGAATTTTTTATTTCTCCATCTCTGGGATTTTTTTTTTTTAACATGCCCCCGGCTGAAAAATCCTGGACCCACCACAATAACAAGATTGGACAAAATACACTCGCCCTTTAAATGTTCGGTCCCTAGCATAAAACTTTCATCTTCCGTTAGGCCTACACCTAGATTAAAAATAAGTTCAAGAAAGCTCATTTGCTTACACATAGACCATTTTAGAGAAGTTAATAATAATAATAATAATAGTTCGTTCTTTTAAAGCGCATTTATGGACCGAAGGCCCTCTCAAAGCGCTTTACAATATACAATGTACGTTAGAAACTTATAATAAAATGCCTGGAAAATCCGACATTTCTTCAATATTTGACACGATCCAAACGAAAGATTGCTCGAAATCTCAGAACATCTTTTTGAAAGCTATGTTTATTTAAAAGTTTAGATAATGAATTCAATATTATTTTTGAATAACTTGATTTATTTTGGCAAGGAATGTTGTTAAGGACACAGAAAACAATGCGCAGGACTGTAGTGTAAATAGGCATCAAAGACAGGAACGCCTTTACAGGGTGCTTTTTTTAACGATGGCAACACTCATAATTGGTTTCTGCATCTTTGAATACCCCTATTATTGAGAGTGTTTATGTGTGGTTGCAGGTGACCCACGAAAATGGAGAATAGCCGCATTTTTCACGTCCATCCCACTGGTCTATTACAGGCCACAATCCTTTCAGGATTCTGAAGAAAATGCTTACCCTGTTTCATAAAACTTGTTATCAAACTTATTATGGGCGTTCCCAACTCAAGCTACAACTGTATGCTTTTCGGGTTTGCGCCTCCTTCTGTTATCTGAATTATTTACTGTATATACTCTATGTTGAATCATTGTTACATATATTGTGTTTCACCGTTGAGAAGGAAATAAATGTTAATAAATACAATTTTTTTTACAGGGTCTGTGATAAGCTACTGAAATCGTGGCATTTGATTTGCTGAGAGCAAATTGAATTGAATTGAATTGAATTCGCATTTATTTCATTCTCGATTAAAAATTACATTGATCGATACAAAAGATACAAAAGATACAAAATTATTCATGAACAAATTTAGAAATGAAATGGGGAACTACATAAATAAATCCCTTAGGCCTTGTACACGCATAGTTCCCAAAGCATTCATAGCATATACATGTAAGCAAAGATTTCAAAAAAGAAAAAAACAAACGAACAATTAAATAGAAAGAAACAAAAAACAAAAAACATATAACACAAATATAAACATAAGATAAGTAACTATAAATTCGTCATAGAAAATTAGCTTTTGTACGTAATTGATAAAATGTTTTATGAAACAGGGCCCTAAACATGACAATGATATCTGCATCCTCAAATTATTACACTTTAAATCAATTGAGACACTTCCAAAAGTGACTTATTATTTACTCATATACTTTATAAGATCAATTTTTTTACCGGCTCTCTAACTTTCTGTTCCCATTTAATGTAAGAAGAACAATTTCTAGGACTGGGGTGCGTTATGGTAACCAGCTTTTGATCCCAGCTTATCAGGGCCTCCTTGGTCCTTTTCTCGACATACTTCCCAAGATTTACTACCACTTTCACATCCAGCAGACGGATCAACAAACGTAGAAAGTCATCACAGACACCATTTATTTCATTTTTCATGTCGGCCTTCATGTCCGAAGGAGTGACATTCTTGCCATTCTCGCCCAGGAATATTAGAGGGCAGTAGTCGTATACGAAACACTTATCGAAGAATTTCTCTGGAGTGTCACACAGACCCTTACACAGTTTCCAGAAACGCTTTCCACTGACCCCACTGCGTGGTCCACCCTTGGGTGATTCCTTTTGGGTTCCGCCAACATCTGCAGTAATCTCCGCTGTAATCTCCATCCAGCCTTTCACAGTCTCGGTGTCTGCAAACGGTACCTATCAACAAAATAATTTCCAACAAAATGAATTAAATGTGGCACAATGCATTGCTTTATATTTAAAATAAGCATTTACTTGTATGTTCATATCCTTTACTAAGTAGACACTTCACTGCTACCAATTTCTTACACGAGTAATTCCGTTATAAAATGTAAACTGAAAGTAGATTTGCAACTGATATTCAAAATATACTACTAAACGTTGAGAGGTGTACACATAATTCTTAGTATAAAGTCCTTTCCAATTATTCGTGAGTACACAAGGCTACTTATCTTATAGTTGCAATGGTTAACATAATACCCTACAACTTAAAGAAAAAAAAACACAACTGAAAATTAATGCCTTTAAAATTACCCCAGTGTGCTTTCCCGTCTTAGATGGACCAGGATTCATTCCAAGGAAGAGCACAGACTTGGTTGAGTTGCAATACTTTCTGATGAAACAGTCATGAATCTCCTTGGCATACACCACAGGATTGAAGATGTCCCTCACAGGGTCGTCAAACTTGATCTTTTTCAGGTCACTCACCATGTCCTCCACCAGCGAAATGAACCTTTCTGCAATGCTTTTGTCTCCACTTGGCCGAGTTGTTGCAGAGCCAGAGAAATTCGCGGGTGCTGTTGGCAAGTCTGATGTTGCCAGTGATGGAGTTGTCACAGGTGTTGCAGGATCATCTCCCGAAGGGCCAACTGTTTCGAGCCCCTGTTTTTGTGGAAAAAAGGGAAATTAATGGGATGAAAATATATAAAGAAATTAATAAATAGTGAGGCAATGACGTCACAAACTGGTAACCAAATTAGCTGATGTTCTAAGTTCCATATGTGTTTCATACTTTAACAAAATCATAACTTCTTTATCAGTTATACGATTTTACTCAAATTTGTTTTGCTCTGTTTCTCTTGTTTCTCTCCATTCTAGAAAATTATTTTTGGAGTGGACTTAGCCTTTAAGAGAGATGTGCTCAAGATCCTTAAGCTATGGATGTCTTTGAGCTGCACATAGTTCCTTGTATGCCTTTTATTGAGACACTGTAGGCTTATATACACCTGCACAGCAACTACATCAGTACAAAAATAGACCCGACAATGGTCTGTACTTATAGCGAAGAAGAGGAAGAAGAAAAAGAAGAAGTATAAAGTCTGTACCTGAGTTTTAGTCGGCTTGAACATACTAGGACAGTAAAAATATTTATAAACTCCACAATCTCAGAATTGTTATACGGTCATTCTCTTTTTTCTTTTCTCATTATGTAGGCATGCAGTAGATCTAACAATCAATTGTGTTGTATAATAAATAATTGAATAATAATTTCATTTTCAATTTGTTAAGTAGGAAACTTTACTTAAATCACTTTAATATGCATTGACCAATGACCACAGTGGTGTTAGCCCACTGTCAAGAAATAGTCTACTAAACTGGAATACCCCCCCCCCCCTGAGTATAGCCGAAACCCGTTCTATCACCATGTTCTCCATCTGCGGGATAATACCGTCTGCCATGCTTTTGTCTCCACTTGACTGAGTTGTTGCAGAGCTAGGGAGATTTACGGGTGGTGTTGTCAAGTCTGATGATGCCCGTGGTGGAACTGTCACAGATGTTGCAGGATCATCTCCCGATGGCCTACCAGTCTCGCGCTCCTTGCGAAGTATTCTGATTCTCTATAAAATGATAAACATGAGGTCATGAAAGGAAAGGAAAACAGATGATCAATATCGATGATTTGATTGTTAAACAATAAGCCCCCCGGCCATCTTCCCCCGCTCAAAAAAAAAAGGGCCGAGAGAATTTTTTTGACAACATAACTGCTGGTCTTTATCCCACAGAAGACAAAATAGATAATAGTCAAGTTTCGGGTGAGCAAGATGATCTCCCACACAACAAACAGAATTGACAAAAGACTTAACTCCGTTTCGTTGACAATCAGCCATACATGAAGTCTTTCGTCTACGGCTAATCGTCAACGAAACGGAGTCATGTCTTTTATCAATTCTGTTTGTTGCTACGACAGTCAGCCAGTGAAAACGAATTCGTTTGATACAATTATGGAAATGCAAGCTGAGCATTACTTTGAACAAACAGAATTTTGTTATTCCTAGCTCATTTTTCCCTGATTGAGGTGTCATAATTATGAAAGGGCAGAAATGAACTTTCTAGAAATGTGTTTTCCTCCTTGAAATTCAGATACCGTCCGCCAAATAACTTTTTGGTACCCTTTCTCCAAATTGATTTTAATCACTCGTGCGTGAAATATGCATCATCTGAGTTGCATTATATGAAAGAGGAGGAATTATGTGTCATTTATTAATTGTAGATGTGATTAAGTTATGATAAAACATCGATAATCCTCGGTTTCTCTTTTTCTAGTACGCACTGATCAAAAGCTTTGTCTCTGCAGCCATTTTTATAAATGGCGACCATCTTGAAGAAAGAAAAAAATAATAATAAGGGACTTCTTCACTGATTAAAAAAATTGGGCCTACGGATAGACTACCTATCGATTTTGTCAGAATTGTCATTCTTTATTTCTTTAATTCTATATTATTTATTATGCATCATTTATTCTTTATTTCTTTATTAGGTGGTCTGTCATCGACAGAGCACCTATTGATTTCGTCAGAATTTTCTTTCTTCTTTATTAGGTGGTCTGTCAACTACGGATCACCTATTGATTTCGTCAGAATATTTTTTCTTTCTTTATTATTCTTCTTTATTTTTATTAATTTCTCCGCACTTTTTTGTGCAGATGATAACTCAATTCAATTCAGTCAATTTCTTTCAATTTCGGCACAGTCTAAGGCCGTTGTCATGATACATGACAGCTACATTTTCAAGGTCATCAAGTCTTCGTGATGTTATGGAGGCGCCATTTCGTGAAATTTTCTTAAAATCAACTCATGATCATATTTTTATTAAGGAAAGTCATTTCTCATTCATAATGATCAAGGTCAATATCCGTCCGGTCAGTTTCAGGTCAATTTCAGTTAAAAATGCCCAAAATCACTTTTTAATTAAATAGGAGTAGGTTTCAGGCCATTTTAAGCATTTTTAATTTTGCGCGCGCGTCTTCGCTCGACATGGCCATGCGCAACATAGAATCGTCCTTTTTCCCTTTCATTATATTTTCCATTTCTTTCTCCAAACTATTTAATACCATGCAGTGGCGTAATGAGCAAAAACGTTTTGGGGGGCATTACCCTACTCTTACATGAAGGCCCCGTTGAACAATTTTCAAAGTGGGGTCTAGGGGCAAAGCCCCGGCGGGGGTCAAGGGGCGGAGCCCCTGAAGCTCAATGGGTATGGGCATCAGTGGCGGATCAAGGAATTTCTTACGGGGGGGGGGGCACAAAATGGCATGGGGTGAAATGTATGTAATACGATGAAACGACAGAGCGAGGCTTTAGCGGCGAGGGAGGGGAGCGACCAAGCGGGGTGTGTCCGAGAGGGGTTTTGACGCCCTCCCAGAGTAGGAAGCATTTGCACTTTGAGAACCACATTTGGCGCATAAAGTCCACCGGCACTTCCTGGAAAAAAACGAGGCCTTCTGATTGGTTAGAAGTTAGAGAAATGTAATCTGTCACGTCGTGAGACGTTGCATAATCATGCTTCGTTGCTGCACAATGCACAAAGACGGTGGTCCGAGTGTATAAACTGTGTTGTTATCAGGAGCGTCGCTAGACCTTTTTCAGTGGAGGAGGGGGGGGGGGGGGGGGGGGGTGTAGAGGCCAACGACTAAACTATCCACCAATTACCGACAAATATATTAATGCTAAATTAAATGTCTCAATATGTACAAATTTAACCCTATAAACCCGGAGCCGGGAACTAAGTGATTTTTTAGTTTTCCCCCTCCCGCGCAAAGATTTGACACTTCATTAAATTTTTAGAGAAAGAAGCAATTCATTATACCGTTCTCGACTCTTAATCCTTGTGTGAATTCAGTTCCCCACTCCTCCCGCGCCAAGTACGGAAGCTTTAACGTTTCAATAAATTATTACTTTTCATCCCTGTCTGAATTCATTTTCGCCCATCCTGGGCGACGCGCGGAAGCTTTCACATTTCGTTAAATTATTAGAGAAAGAAGACGATTCGTTGTATCGTGTCCTTGTCTGAATTCAGTTCCCCCTTCCCGCGTGAAGCGCGGAAGCTTTGACGTTTCATTTAATTATTAGAGAAAGAAGCAATTTATTATACCGTTCTCGACTCTTAACTCTTGTCTGAATTCAGTTTCCCCACCCCTCCCGCGTTTTAACGCTGCGGCTTTGCATTTGGCGCACTGCATTATGCTATTGATTGAATAAATTAAATAAATTCATCAATTCCTGATGAAGCCGAATGAGCGAGAATTCAATATACGGTTGTCTCATTTACTTCGTTTTCTATTTATATAGGTATGTATTATGAAAATGAGATAGCAAAATGTGTATATTGATGGTCATCTTGCGAGTTCATCGGGCTCTCATCATCAATTTTTCTCTTCATTTTTTTTTTATGGTGAATTATTTGAGGGGGAGGGGATGATTGTATAGGCCCAGGCGCGGATCCAAGATTTTTTTGCTCTCAAAAATTTGAAAATCGCGCCGACCGAAAATTCGCTCAGTGGGTGGGGGGGGGGGGGGGGGGGGGGAGGGGGGGGGGTTAGTGAGCACTGATTTTTTTTTTTTTTGCCCTCGAAAATTTGAAAAATTGCACCCCCTCCCCCCTTGAGCGCCAGGGGGGGGGGCATCTCCAAAAAAGGTAAAATTAACGTTAAAATATATAAAATATACACATTTTTTTCCCAGGGGGGGGGGGTCGGATAACCCGCCCCCCTGGATCCGCCACTGCATAGGCCATCCCCCACCTGAAATATTAGGGGGATATATTCCGCCAACCCCCCCCCCCGGATATTCGTTTCATCAGGTTCAAGAAAAATAACCGTGTCATCTGCATATTGACTTATCTTTACTTCCTCATTTAATACTGTTAACCCACGAATATCTTTATTTTATCTCACGAAACAGCCAAGTACTTCAACTGCAATAACAAAAAGATATGAAGACAAAGGACATCCCTGTTTCACACCACGCTTTATCTCAATATAATCTAACGCGAACCCATTATTAATAACTCGTCCTTTATATCTGTATACTGTAATTTCACCCAATTAATAAAATACTGATCAAATCCAAATACATGAAGAGCGTCGTACATAATATTCCAGTCAATCATATCAAAAGTTTTTTCAAAGTCAATACTCAGAGCTAAAACATCAATATTTTCTATTTTACAAATGTTTTGTATATCAATAAATAATCGTATGTTCTCTCCAATAAAGCGTCCTTCTTATCCAAAGCCCTAAAACCTTTTTCATTCGCAATGAGAGAATTTTTGATAAAATCGTATAATCACTGTTAAGAAGTGATATTGGTCGCCAATTTTTGAGAAGTAATAAAATTCTCTACCTTTTTGTGGCAACAAAGTAATAATACTTGTTCGCATAGATAAAGGAAAAATGTTATCAAGTAAAGAGGAATTGTAAACGGAACATAACAAGTCTATGATATCATACCAGAAAGTTCATAAAACTCTATGGGAAGTCCATCTGATCCCGGTGGCTTGTCATTTTTAAAAGTTGTAATAGTTTCATAGCACTCTCATTTCAGAGAAAGACGATTTTTCTCTGGCACCTAAAGAAAAATCGTCGTCTTTGATATCCAGATTAGGTAAAACAACTTTTTAAATAAATTCACAAGGAAAATCTTGTTTATCACTAGGTGCATATAGATTAAGATAAAACAACCTTTCTTCCTCGAGAATATCTTTAAAATCTGTAATAGGTCCATTTGCCGTTAGAAGCCTGGAAATGCCTTTTTGCTGAAAATTCCTTTTTTCTAAATTAAACAAATATTTGGTATTACGTTCACCTTCTGAAACCCATTTAGCGTTAGTTCTCACAATAATACCTCGAACAATTTCTTCATGTAAATGTTCATATTCCTTTTTCTTGTCACATAAATCACTACGTAAAGTTTCATTATAACAACATTCTTCATTGTTGGTTAACCTATTTATCTCTTTCTCTAACTCTTCTAATCGCATTCTGCATTCTTTTTTCTTCTTTTTGGAAATTTCGATAAACTTACAATGAACTCTAAATTTCATAAATTCCCATATTTTGCTAAAGCTCGAACCTGCATTTAAAGTAAAAACTATTTTAATTTCATCTCTTATTGAGTCAACAACATCTGCGTCTGCCAATAATGCGGTGTTGAGCTTCCAAAATCCTGGACTTCTCTTTATAACAATTTTGTCAAATGAAGGGATACAAATTAATGGTCACTCTTATAACCAAACGTTATTTCACTTGTTTTAACTGACTGAATCAAACTCTGGGATATCAGAAAGTAATCTAAACGACTTCCACTTTTACAATCGTGAGACATATCCAAGTATATTTCAATGCTGCAGGGTAAAGATGCCTCCATACATCAACTAATTCAAAATGAGATATAATATTTTG